GCACTACATGATGTTCAAATGTCATGCGCTAAGAAATGCTAGTTGAAGCATTTCAGGTTTGGAATTTCAGATTAGGGATGGTCAGCTAGTAGTATAATTTAAATATTCCAAAGTGTGAAAAAAGTCCAAAATCCAAAATACTTCTGGTCCCAAGCATTTCAGATAAGGGATACTCAGCCTGTACCAAGATTTCATGAAGGTAGAAACTGCAGGGACAAGTCACCAGCCCTAATGCTGGAGGAGATATTAAAATTTAGAAGCTTGGTGAAGGGGCTCTATGGGATAGTGACCCAGGCCTCTTAGGAGGGAGTGCTGGTTGGCTGGTGCTAATGTTATGAAGAGAGTATGATAGGGCTGCTTCTCCAAGTGTTGAAAACTGCACACTGGAAAGAACACATTCTTTCCATCTTCTCCACTGATGGAGTGGGGAAGCATTGCTAGGGTATTGCAGTCAGGAGCAGAGGACAAACAGGAAAGAGCCACTCCTCTCTTCCTACTCTAACCTTCCAGTCTCCCTCTAGCACCTCTTGTTGGTAGAACCTAACAAAAAGCTAACTGGCAAAGTATAAACATGGTATGTGATGTCCCAGCTCCAGTATCACAAAGCAAGAGTATAGGAGGGTGTGAGTGTGGGGCTGACACAGTAGCGCAGTGGCTGCCGCAGCCCATCCATTGCCTACTCAGCATCATACACATTCTACACATATTTGAATTTCCAAGCAACAAAAACAGCCCTCTTTTTCTACCTAACAAGATACAACTATCTTAGAATGAAGATGTTCTCCCTAAAACAAAGCCACAAAGTCCTCAGACCTCCACGATACCCGGTCCCCAAATCCTAAAACTTTCTGGAGTTATGTTGTGAGAACTGGTTTCCGTCATGTTGGCTTTCCCCTCTACAGGCTTCTACTCCTCCACAGACGTTTCCTTTCCAAAAAATTTGTTTACATTTCTTATACTTTGTTGTCCTGTCTTCTATTTCTCCTTCTGGTTGATGCCTTTTTATTCCACTTCCGTCATTTTGGTGGGTTTTGAGGAAGGAGGGAATAGTGATTATATTTTGTAGCTGGTACTGTTGATCCCCCACCCCGTATTCTCTTGGCCCTCCTCTGAGTACTACTGCAGCCTTGGTGACCAGTTCCCATACACAGTGAAAGTGCCTGTATCTCTCTTCTTCTCCACCCAGGAGCTTTCTCTAGGGCCTTTAGACTTGTTCATTAGAAGTGCAGGGCAGCCTGGAAGTTGCAGGGATTTAATGCCCAGGGTTGACCCTCAACCGGTGAGGATAAGAGTCATTGAAAAAATATTCCACCTTCTCACCCCTAGTAGGACAATTCTGAGGCACCCAGCAGGATTGGCCCGCATTTTCCTACAATGGCAACTTGCTCATTAATAGACTCTTCATTGACTTTTGTCCCTTCTTTAACTTTCCCAGTCCCTCCTTTGTACTTCTTCAATTCACTGGCCAAATTACTTGCATCCAAGTCTGCTTTTTGGGGTATTCAAACTAAAATGTGTTCGAATTGCTGTTGAGCAAATATAGTCACGTTCATTCATTTATTTATTGGGAAGCTACAATTTTCTAGACACTGTGAAATTGAACTGGTAATTTATTATTTTTATGTGTTTATCATACATATGCCTGTGTGTATATGTGTACATATACATGAGTATGTGTGTATATCTATATATCTATATCTATATCTATATATACATATATATAGATATACACATAATACATAGTTGATCTTAAGTTCATTGACAGTAGGAGCTGTGACTTCCACTTATGCTTATCTCCTGAGTCTAACTCAGTCCAGCGCAAACAGGAGGTATTAACAATTATTTCAACAATGATTGACCATTCCTATTTTTAGGCTTCAAATACAGTATACAATGTTATACACAAAATCAACATATAAAGTTGATGTTAAATAATTTATAAATTAAGATATAGCTTAACAAACATTTGTACACCTCCTATATGCACAAACATGATGCAGGTTATAAAGTCAAAATGCAGGAACTTAATATAATACATGATAGGCACGAAATAGCATATACTTAATTGAAAAATGAGTTTATAGAAATACTACCTCAGAAAAGGGAAGGATTAAGATAGTCATGGTAGGCATGACTGGAAATAGCTTCCAGAAGTAGTAATTACTTGAGGAATAGTAGGGTTTAATAGGATTTAAATAGGTGGAGAAGAGGAGGATAGTCCAGTGTTGAAGTGTAGGATGGGAAGTCAGTGGTGATGGTCAAGAGCCCTGCGTTAATATGGAGAATGAAGCTAAAGGGACCTGAATGCACATGGCATATGGAGTGATAGGGAGAATGGCCCAACTGAGGGTTTCCAGTTGAGTCGCAATAGACAGAAAGCAATGGAGGGCCTTTGAACCCCAAGGAATTTGGACTTTGTTGCTGACACAAGAGGGAGTTTTTGAAGGATTTTCAAATATAAAGTAGTGATTGAATTGGAGAGGATTAATTTGGCACATTGCACAGACAGCAGGGGTGGATGAAGGCTAATGGAAGAAAATCCTGGTACAACTTGCTTTCTAGAATCTTCAGGACTCTGTCGCTTTCTGTGTAAGTAAACATTTTTCTCTTTGAAATAATGTACTATGCATTTAAAATCATTATTTTTCCTCTGGTTTCTTCTTCTGGGTCAGAGTATTTGATTCCATTTCAAAAGTTAGCAAGTTTAGCAGAAGTCCAAGCAGGCAAAAGATTGCAGCCCGTTCTTCCTAGGCTGTTCGGAAAGGCGGTACATAGAAATGGAATGACTTCTGTCTGGGTTGCTTCATTGAACTTTCAGGATTTGTTTGTTTAATTTTAAACTTTTGTACTAAACCTTAAAATAGCAGCCATAGAGACAAGTTTATGCATCCCAATTTTGAGATTTAGATTAAATGTCATGAATATTTTCTTCAGAAAGTTCTGGTCATTCTGAAGTGTCCTAGTTTAATATTGCTCCATTTTAAGATGATCTTGTTACATATAGAGCAAGCCATTTTTTTCCTGTTTTTCTCACATGTGAAATGAAAGTCAGTGGAAAAATATTTAACTAAAATTCATTTTTAAGGAATGCTTTAATGTAAATGTGGTGATATACACAGTCACTTTGAAAAACCATGAATCTAGTAATCGAGTATTCTACCAGGAACATATTCACTTGGGTTTCGTTTTTGTTTTTGTTTTTTCATAGAAATGGGGTTTCACAGTGTTGCCCAGGCTGGTCTCAAACTCCTGGGCTCAAGTGATTTTCCCACCTCAGCTTCTCAGCAGCTGGGACTACAAGCACTGCGCCTGGCTTATATTAGTGTTTTTAACAGACTTTCAATCATCTAAATATAATTCGGTCATATGCAAATTAGGAATATTTTAGGAGAAGTTCTTTTCATCTACCTATTTCCTTTAATCATTATTAAGCAGTTAAACCATATTCAGTTAAGAAAAATGAAGGGGTTCATTTCTCTTTCATCTTTGTGCTTCAGTTTCCCTTGCACCCAAGGAGCGTTCATTGAATCTGTCCTCTGGGAATGGCACTGTGAGGTGCCGGGACACGAAGATGACTCCTTATAAGGTCTCCTCAAGGAGATTTTAGTCAGGTAGGGGTCAGGACTTGTAATAAATGAGATTTGAAGTGTTATAATTACTCACAGAGCTTCAAACAGGACATGTGAAGATAGACAATAGGATAAGGTGAGGAAAGAAAAAGGTCAGGGCAAGCTTTAAAGAGAAAGTGATACTTGAGTTTTAAAAGATGAGAGAATGGAAGAAAAATGGAATTTCTGGTGGAGCTAGCAATGTAAGTTTCTTGAACTGTCTAATTCTGTGGTATATACCAGCAGCTTTTTTGCTAAGGCTAACCTCCAACTGTGGATGAAAATGAAAAGGAAGGTTTTTAGAGACAAAGAAAAGTTTCTTTTCTTTAATAACTCAGAGCCTAAAAGTGACGAGGATAGCATATAAATGTGCATTCTGAAGTATTTTATGACATACATTGTGATGTGTAATCACTCCATAGTGAATCACACAGTTTCTGTGTCCTCTTCTCTTTAGGGAGCTTCAAAAGATATCCTCTTCCTTTGGCCCTCTTCTACCTTGTTATGCTTCTCCTTTCATGAACACAACCTCATAAAAATGACGGCCTTTCTTTTCACATCCTGATTCAGATGGAGCTGTTATAGAGCAGAAACTTGGACCAGGTCTACAATGCATGGATTCAATAGACATTCCTAGATTGGGCCCACCTTAAGTTTTCATTTTTTTACAATTCTGTCAGTGTCTTCTATTTGTAATAAATATGGTCCATTATATTTGAGGGGCTATTCTAGGTACTTCAGTGATATTAACCACTAGAATGGACTAAGATCTCCAACCCAGTGGAATTTACAGAGTGGCTCTGGAAGATTGTTTTCTTTCTTCCACACAGACAAAGCATTTGTTAAAATTAAGCTGCTACCTAAAGTGCTGCGTTTCTCTAATGTGCCTTGTATATAGGAACACATTACATTGAGTGGAAGAAGACATTCTTTATTTGGGAGAGAAAGCTTTTTTTTTTTTTTTTTTTTTTTTTTTTTTTTGTAGCTAAGGGTTCTATAAGGATAGACCAGTATGATGTAGCATATTTTCCCTAGTTTATCTTGTAAAAAAGATGAAAGTTGGAAAGTACTAAAAATATGGTGGTTTCAGCGACAGATAAGTGGGTGAAGGGAGAAATATTTAAAGACAAGTTATTTGAAGCTTTCCTTGCTTTGTGCTTCAGTGAGGAGAGAGGGAGAAGGCAGCTACCAAAATGACTAAGTCGTCAATTATAGCCTGGGTGTACTTTAAATAGGCAGAATATAGAAGTATAGTAAGAAAGCAGAAGGGCTAAATCGGAAAGAATTCTGTTATGACATTAAGAAATCCTATTTATTAAAATTGCAACAGATTTGAAATAGAATGTTTTCAGTTTTATTTTTTGATTATAGTTCTCATTTGTGATATTATAGATGCTGTGCCTACTGTCTCAGGAAATAGTCCATCTCTGCAGACAGATGTGAGTTTGGACAAGAGATCAGATGGTACCCTTACAAATACTGTAACAGAAAACCTCTTGGAAACACCTTTAGAAAAGCAATCAGCTGCAGAAGATCTTAAAACATTGACAATTTTACCAGCACATTGGTCGTCAAGTAAAGAGGAGTTTATCAGCCCCAACTTAAGGATATCAAAGTCAGATTCTACTTTCCATAACCAGGCCTCTGTAGAAACACTCTGTCTCTCTCCTTCATTCAAGATATTTGACCCAGTGAAGGAGAATGTAATCAACATGGCCTATCAGAAACCAGTACAAGCCAGTATTACTCAGATGGATGATAAAATTTTCAAGACAACCACACAGGGTGAGTCTACCAAGTCTCCTTTTTTGTTTCCCTCCTTTCGCTCTCATCAGTGATGTTAAAATGTACATGTCATACAGATACTTCTCCGTTGGGAAAGTACCCCTTTTAGTAAAGGGCTAATAGATAATTCATCACCGTGGGTTCTGAGTCCTTGGTTGAACATATTACCATAAGTTCTGAGGAATTTTGGTGCAGACCAAATTAGAAGAAACTAGCATGAAATAAGTGCTTTCTATTAGACATGTAGGTTACTTATTAAGAGATTATATGAAAAACGCTTATTATGTATATTGGTGTATACACACATCTCCGCATACACACTTATGCATGTGTGCCCTTTTAAAAAGGACTGTGTACTGGCCGCACAAAAGGGGCAGGGGATCTTGTCCTTTCTTATATCTTTATAAAACATTAAGAGTGCAATATTGTTTAGACTGGGTGATAAAGGATAAAGCCAGCTGAGGTTTCAGGTTATTGGCTGTCAGTTGCTAAATCCTCCATTATATAATTATGCTTTCTTCTTCAAAGTTAACTAGTGAAAGAATAATTGTTTGTTCATGACTAAGTGGTGGTTTTATTGGTTCTTATATATAATAGTGCTAACCAACTCATATAAATAGAAAGCTTTTAAAATTTATTTATTTTTTATTAGAGATAGGATCTTGCTCTGTTGCAATCAATGCAATCTTGGCTCACTGTAGCTTCAAACTCCTGGGTTCAAGCATTTCTTTGGCCCCTCAGCCTTCCAAGTAGCTAAGACTACAGGTGCATGCCATCACACTTGGCTAATTTTATTTTTAATTTATTATTATTATTTTTTTTTGGTAGAGGTTTGGTCTTGCTATGTTGCCCAGGTTGGTCTTGAACTTCTGGCCTCAAGTGATCGTCCTGCCTCAGCCCCCCAAAGGTCTGGGATACAGGCATGAGCCACTGTCTGGCCAATACAAAGATTTTAATGTGAATCTTTTAAGCTCACGCAAACCGAGATTAAAAGTACATATAACTATAAATAATGGAAGCTACCATGTTGAAGCTAAAGAAATTTATATTGGTATTAGTAAGGTCAATGAGTAATAAAAGATTTTCCTTTGTGCTCTTTCAAGAATTTTTTGATATTGAATAGTGTAAAGGTAGTAAAACTGATTCTCTGTTTTGTCAACCAATTACTTTTCTTTTGAGACTGTTGATGTGGAAACCAGTTAGTACTGCTTATGATGGCTCTGATGGCTTATGTGCATGGCTGTCTCCTGGGAAGTTGATACTTTTAGTTCATTTCTTTCATGAATACCACAAAATGATCATTGAAAATATTTTTTGGTCCCTGTGAGTATACCAGGCACACTTAAAATTTAGCAAGAAGTTCCTTGAAAACTGGTTAACACAGAGAACTTTTGTGTTGGCTTGTAATAGATAGAATTGGTCTAATTCTACCATCAAAAATAAGTATTAAATCTGGTTTGAAGTCATCATCAAACAACCAAGTAGAAAAAACATACTAAGGTTAAGATCCCAGGGGGAAGACAATTGAGATGAGTGCCTCATTCACCTGAGTCTTCCCCCGCTTGAGTCATCTGCTTATTCACAGAGCAATGTAATAGAAGCTGAAGAGAAATCAGAGGTCTGGGCTTTCCAGTCACTGAGCTTGGGAGACAGGTAGGAGTTTGGGGTTTTCGAGGTGCCCGGGACTTGAAGGGCCCGTATTCCAGAGGGAGGGAAAGTCTTTCTGTCATTTCTTACTGACACATTTGCTTACTGCTAAGTTGCATGCGTTCAGGATGAGATGCCAAGAAACTAAATGAGAAGCAGCTTATAAGAGGCCAGTGAGCTAAGCAGACAAGGAAACAAACGTCGGAGTTCAGGATTTGGTAAATTGTAGGATCCGTGGTGATCACTTGAGGCTTTCCACTGGTACCCCTGATAGGCTGTACTATAGGCCTCAGAACTGTACTCTAGGAATAAGGACAAACCAGAAGTTGAACAGCCCTCACAAATACTATTAATAAAACCTATTTTGCCTAGAGCAAAGTGATTGATTTGTATTCCATCTGCCTTCTAGAAGACAATTAAATCCTTTCTTGAGAATTCTTAAAATTTTTTATAAAATATTTTGGCTTTCAACAAAAAGTTACCAGGCATACTAGGAAATGAAAAACTGGCCAGAAATACAGGGGAAAAGTAGACAACGGAAACAGATCTCCAATAATCTAGATTCTGAATGTATAAAATAGGTACTTTAAAATTATGGTTAATATGATCAAGAAGACAGGAAAGATGAAAAATTTCACCAGAATACTAGTATCTGTTTTAAAAATCAAATGGACTGGGCACAGTGACTCATGCCTATAATCCCAGCACTTTGGGAGGCTAAGGCAGGGAGATTGCTTTGAGGCTAGGAGTTCAAGATAAGCCTGGGCAACATAGGGAGAGCCCACCTCCCCCGCCCAAAAAAAAAGCCAGATGTGGTAGCATATGCCTATAGTCCTAGCAACCCTGGAGGCTGAGGCAGAAGGATCACTTGAGCCCAGGAAGTTGAGGCTACGGTGAGCCATTATCATGCCACTACACTTTAGCCTGGATGACAGAGTGAGATCCTGTCCCCCCGCAAAAAAAAATCAAATAAAAATTGTAGAGCTGAAAAATACAGTAGCTGAAATTAAGATTCTGAGGGTACTTCTCAGTCCTTATATCCTGAATGTCAAAAGAGAGTTTAGTCTGGCAGGGAAGTGGGAAAGTTATGAATGAAATCTTAAAAGAGAAGGAGACTCAGAAGGGGCAGACCTCATTATTTGTGTATAAACGATTCCCAAATTCTTGACTGACCACTGAACTATACATATAGGGGAACCTCAGTGAGTCTGACCAGAAAAAAAAAAAAAAATCCTACTGGAAGCCAAAAGAACTGAGATGAGACTTCAGTTTCTGCTTACTGGAAGGCTGACAGTTTGAAGAGGCCAGGCAAGTTATCTTCCAGACAGAACAAAATTCAGCACTCTTTAGAGGAGTATCACAGAATACAGACACTTTACAATGTATCATCCAAATGTCCAGTATAAAATTTTAAAAATCACTAGGCATGTGAAGAAATAGGGAGATAGAAGCCATATGAAGATATTAAGAGTCAGTAGAAACTGACCCTTAGATGACCCAGATGTTGCAATTAGCAGACAGATTTTTTTAAAGCAGTTATTATAAATCCATTTAAGAACTTAAAGTACTCTCAATGAGCACTTTGAATAGAAAGGAGCATCTCAGCAGACAAATAACTGTAAAAAGGAATTAAATGGAAGTTCTCAAGCTGAAAGATAAAAAATTGAATGAAAATTTTACTGGAAGGGATTAGCAGAAGATTAAAAATGAAAGAGAGCAAGTGAATTTGAAAATAGATCAATAGAAATAATCTAATCTGAAAATGGAAAGGAAAAGATTAACGAAAAAAAAAACAGAGAGACTCCGTCTTGTGAGACAGTGTCAAGCACTCTGACACTGATGTAATTGGAGTTCCAAAAGGTGAGGAAAAGACAGAGGGTCAGAAAAAAATTATTTGAAGAGTTAATGCCCATATCTTCCCAAATGTGTGAAAGAAATAAACTTTCAGATCCAAAATGCTCAATGAATTTCAAACAGAATTAAGTTTAACAAACATGTCTGGATGCATTATAGTTGGACAGCTGAATTCCAGAGATAAAATCTTGAAGCAGCAAGAAACATTATCATATTACATGCAGAGGACCAAGAATATAAATGACACCTGATTTTTTATCATAAGCAGTGTGTATCACAAGACAATGAAAAGTCATCTTGTAAGTGTTAAAAGGCAAAACCTATTAACCCAGAACTCTGTATCTAGCAGAACCAAAAAAATAAAGATGAAAACAGGACTTGATTCAAGTGAATAAAAACTGATCGTCAGGAAATCCATACTACAAGAAACACTGAAGGAATATTTTCAGCCTAATGAGAAATTACAGTAGTTACTTGACTCTACAGAAAAGAATGATGAACACTGGAAATGGTAAATATGTGGATAAATATAAAATACTATGTGTATCTTTTCTTTCAATTAAAAAGGACATGTAACTATTTAAAGCAAAACTTATACTATATTTTGGGGCTTGAAACATATGTAGATATATAGTACAATATAGCACCAAAAATGGAGAGTTAATGGAATTATACCACTGAAAGATTTCTATATTTTACATAAAATAGTACAATATTAACTATAATTAACTCATAATAAGTTAAGCATGCATAAATTTAATTACACTTGTAAAAAGGAAAGTGGTATAGCCAAAGCCCTGTTGAGGAATTAATATGGAATACTAAAAATATATTCGATCAACACAAAAGAACGGAAAAGAGGGACAGAAACAGACAAATAGAAGGCAGATAGCAAAATAGAAGACCTGACTCCAACCATTTCAATAATTACGTTAAATGGGAGTGGAATAAACTTTGCAACTAAAAGGAAGAGACTTTAGATTGGATAGAAAAGCAAGACTCAATTACATGCTATTTATTAGGGAAGTGCTTTAAATACAAAGACATAAATTGATTAGAAGTAAAGCCATTAAAAATATGTACTATGCAAGAAGCATAAGGTGGGAGTGGCTATATTAATATCAGACAAAACTGACTTCAAGACAAGGATTATTACTAAAGAGGGCATTTCATATTGATACATAGGCCAGTACAGGAGGGATATATAGCAACTAAAAAAGGGATATATGGCAACTAAAAGTGTGTATGTACCTAATAAAAGAACTTCAAAAATACATGAAGCAAAAACTGACAGAATTACAGGGAGAAATTACGCAAATCCATAGTCATAATTTGAGATTTTATTATTCTCAGCGATTGACAGAACTAGGCATAAAAATCCATAAGTATGTGGAAAATATGAATAACTATTCAAAAACCTTAACTTACTTGAAATCTCTAAATCACAACATCCAACCAGTGTAGAATACATTCTTTTTCTGTTTTTTTAAACATTCTTT